GAGCGTGGCTGCCGGTTCCCGGGCTGCTGGAGGAGCATCCCTGCAGCACCGGTGCATTTTGGCACCCCGGTGTCCCGTATCTTCTGAAAATCGCGTTTTGCTGGTGGCAGAGCCGTTCTCACAAGTTGTGATTTTCCACCGGGAAAAAGGGGCGACTCCCGGTGCCGCTCACCTTGGGAGCTGGGATGGGACGAAGCCCTCGTTGCAGCAAAGTGCTCTTTGGCAGGGTCGGGGAGCCCGGCACAGACGGGGCTGCGCACAGCAGCCAGCCAAGAAACGGGGAACCTGCACATGTGTGTTCGTGTGTCCAGCGCAAAGCGATGGCGTTTTACATCTGCTTGCGCTGGTCTCTCTTCCTGGGCATCTTTAACTCTCTATTAGTTTATACTGTGCTTTAGGCTGAGCTGCTTCAAGCTCCTTCTGTCTGTGCAGAGCCTGGTGTTTATAATGTGTGTAGCGTTAACACAGTGAGCTGGCGGTAGATCTAGACAGGGAGCTGAGAGTCCCGCTGCTCTGCCGCGTAGTTCGTGTGTTGCCTGTGCGTGGAGGTGGGCTGCGTGGGCCAGCGGGGCCGTCTGAGCCGCCCGTCCGTGGCTTCTGAGTCTGAAGTGGCTGAGTGTCATGGGACCTGCGGCAGGGGAGCCTGGACCTGCTCTGCCGTGTGGTGGAGCGCTGGATTGTCGGGAGCTGTTGTCATCTCCTGCCTGTGGTGTGTCCCCACAGGTCACCTCTCCTGGGATTTTGGAGGGTGTGATGTGTGATGTTTTGTTTCTGGTCTTACAAGCATCTTGATATCCAGCTTATGGGCTGTGGAAAGCGGAATGTCCCTGCTGGAGACACTGCTCGGAGTAGGGTGAGCAAGACCCGTGGGTGGTAGGTCTGGGGAGGATGACAGCGCAGTGTGTTTGGCTGTTCATCCAGACCACTTCCCACCTTTAATCCTGTGCCGGGTGTGGTGGTAAGGAATACTACTTGTTGCCTTGGCAACAGCTATTAAACCAGAAAAAGGTTATGACATTTATTTAGCATCGTGGATAAAGCTGACATCTCATTATTACCGTCTGTCTGCGACTCCTCCTGGGTGGAGAGAGACAAAACAGCAGACTGCGCGTCGACTGCCGCTGCAGAATGGGAGGTGAGGATTGCCCATCGGTTGCCGGTTAAACCGCTCGGCCAGCGGACGGGAGCTTCCTTCTGGAGACTGCTGTGGCCTCTGCAGGCTGTCCCTGCACATGAGCATCTTCCGTGCTGGTGTTCAGGACTGGGCTTCTCTCCCTTTGCTCTTCCTCCAGGGGCCGTGTGCTTGAAGAAAGCGCAGCCCGTGCCTGGGGAGGAGAGCTGAGGGTTGTGCCATGCCCTTCTGCTGGCTTTTGGTAAAATAAACGTATCATACGAGGGGTTGGTGAATGCAAGTAAAGATTGAAGGAGAGAGGTGATGTATGGGGAAAGCCCTTCTGTGCTGGTGAAATGCCACCAGCCAACGCGTCATGGTGCCATGACGTGGGTGTTTGACACAGTCTGGTATCTCTCCAGCAGACCTTTAACAAGGGCAGAGCTGACGCAGAGCAGAGATGTTTTCTGGTGGTCTCATGGCTCTGGGCTCTGCCTTGGGACGTCGGTGTGGGTGTGGGTTCTTTGCAGGCGCTGGGTGGTTGCACTTGCCTTCAGGTTTCTCCCAGCTCAGTGCCTGCTGGAAGCAGTGAGACCTGGCAGGGGCCTTGGTCCAGCGAGGTGGGGCTGTTTGTGCACAGCCACACAGGTGGGTGAATTCCATGTCAGACCCATGCTCTGTGCTCTCTCCACCTGGGCTTTGCTCTGTTAGGAATTAGAAAAACCCCGGGGAAACATGATCCCAAGGGTGATGTAGTTAATTATTTAGCAACATCCCTGAAATTGGGAGCTGGTGGGGCATTCTTGGGCCAGTTGCTCCTTGCTCATTAGGCCCATTTTGCTCAGGCTTTTGGTTTTTCT